CCTCCATCTGATTGGCGCATTCAGAATGGAATACAGAACAACATCGAGGACACTGAAAAAATAAAAATGGTCCGTAATTTTCAAAAATCGAATTATGCTAAAGTCAACTCTTCATTGTTTTCAAAAGACTCGAATAAGACGGACCAATTCGATCACTGCTAAACATGAACGCAATTCCTCAACGTATCAAGTCCCAGCCCGGTATCTCAAACTTTGCAAGAAATCGATAAAATCGATAAAGGCAATAATTCTACAACTCTCCTCCATTAAAACTATTATTTTAGAACCTCGAATTTCTTCATTTTATGTGAGTGAGGGACATGGATAGATTATTTTTTTCAGATTTTTTCACATTTCAATACGTGCATATATAGATGCAAAAAAAGAAAAAAAATGTGGTTTGTTGAATGATACGGACATCTTTCGTTCTCTTTGCAAATCGAAAATACATCTCTTTGCACTTTAGCACTTTTTTATGTGCTGATAAATCTTATCTCCTAATGACAGCCTGTCACGAAGATAAGGAAATCAGACAAAGAAGCTTCGCAAACATCTGCTGCAGAAACTACTACTACTCTGCAAAATAAAAATAACCGGAACTTTCAATGTGAGGTATGAATGATTACTGCAATTTGAACTAGCTTCAACACTGAAGCAAAAAAAAAAAACTAGTTCCTGTCTCTCTTTTCTGGGTAGATTTCAAATTAATTATCTCTCATGCTAATCTAAATTGACATAGACACCCTTTGTTTCAAAGGGACTGGCGGCTGGAAGGCGACCGCTCGCACCCTCGACGCAGTCTGCGTCTCTCTCACGGGCCTTCTCTGATCATTACCCAGCCTCAAAGCCCCGCCTTCCAGCCTTCAGTCAGTTGAATGAAAGTGTAACAACACAAGAAACGAAACCCAGAACCAAAAATTTATGGGAAATTAAGATTCACCCTATATGTTCTCTCGGTTTCAAACGGATAGATCACTTCGTTCGCCTCGCATATCTCACAGATGAATCCCTTCTGTCGACATAACGAGCAATGCATAACATGATCCACGGCATGTTTCAAGAATCCACGCACTTGCTTCTCTAGTTGTCCATTATGAAGGAGAAGCAGATCCTGAAAACTCGAAAGATGTGAGAGCGGCTGAAAAAAGATCAG